CTAAATGTTTCTGGGATTGGTGCACACTACAGTGAGAAACTATCACATTCTTCATCAGTAGGGAGGCTCACAAATGACCAAGAAAACAAACTAGGGCTGAATAAAGCCATGCTAGTGGGAGTTTTGCTTTTGGCTTTCTTTTAAAGTTAGGCATAAAATTATGGACTACAGAGATGAAAACAACTAATCATGTTACAAATCCCTTAACTAATGAAGGCAAAATAATTATGTAATATGCTCTGTTCTCCTTGGGCTTAGGTGGCAAAAGTTTTAAGTTGGGACGGTTTGTGTAAGAACAGGACATGCATGTTCAAATGTACTTTACATGAACTATCCCATAATCTCTGATTCTGGGGAAAACATATTGAAAATTATCTAGAGATGGAGATATCTAGGGCAGGAAACTAAGGTGCCAGCCTGAAATATTCAGTCAATCTGGTTCATCTGTCTTTCACTAGCCTCTCAGGTTGAATCACTATCTAGGTCCTGACTATATTCCTTGGTAGTAAAGTCAGGTAACTTGGAATAGTTAAAAAGTTTTTAATCTGCCCCATTTGGGAACATTTGCATTAATTTGGTTTCCAACTATAAGAATAACTGGTGCTGGGCATGGTGGCACACACCTATAATCCCAGCACTTTGGGAGGCCAAGGAGAGTGTATCACTTGAGGTTAGGAGTTCAAGACCAGACTGAGCAACATGGCAAAAGCATCTCTCTCCAAAAAACAAAACAAAACAAAACAAAAATTAGTGGAGTGTGGATGTGTATGCCTGTAATCCCAGCTACTTGAGAGGCTGAAGTGAGCAGATTGCTTGAGCCTGGGAGGTCAAGGCTGTAGTGAGCCAAGATCATGCCACTGCACTCTAGCCTAGGTGACAAAATGCGACCCTGTTTCAAAAAAAAAGAAAAAGACATCCAACACACACATGCACACACACACACATACACACACACCCCCCAAATAAGACCCAAAAGTATAGTGTAAGATCTTTTTCCTACAGGTAAGATGGGGGGTGAGGGGCACGGAATTAGTTATGAAAACCCGGTGTGCTAACTAATGGAATAGAGGGTACTGAAGCACACTGGGGAGAGGAGGAGGAAGGGAGGCTGGGGTGACGAGGGTGAGATGGAAGGCTTCAGAATAGACCGAGGCCTTAAGCTGAATCTTGAAAGACAAATAGGAGTTAGCCTGATGGCTGAAGTAAAGAAAGGCATTAAGAGCAGAGGGAACATCACATGAAAAGGCACTATCAACGAGATAGGAGGAAAATCAGCAAGGAGGGGTAGCACAGGAAAGCTAGGAAGGAGAGATGATTAATAGTGCCAAATGACAAGGGATCAAGTAAAATCAGGACTTAAAAGTATTTCCTGGCTTCTAGGGTGACCTGAGGCTCCCATTCCTACACACTAGCTTACTGCAGTTGGAGTATCCATTACCTGGAATCACAGAGAGTTGGAAGAGACCATAAAGGCCTCAGTCCCAATATGAAAGCCTCTCTATGGCCTTCTGATGAGGGCCTTGAGTCTAAGCTTGATCACTTTCAGAGCTAGGAAGTCCCACCCAATCTCACGGTCAGGGCAACTTTAGTGGTTAACAAGTTCTTTACAGCAGAGAGTTGCTGGGGCCTAATATTTAAGAATAGATATCCCAGATGATGTGTCTACCTGAACTTCAGAATCTACCTGTTAGAACTGTTCTCCCCTCATCTTGGGCCCACAGTACCCAATAGTCAAAAAAGCCACCACTAAAGAGCACACATTATGTGCCAGACATTGGGGTTATATCAGAAGCTTATGTATATTTTCTGATTTAATCCTCCCAGTGACCCTATTAAAGTAGGAATATAGATAGTTATTTTGTTTTTGCAAATCACAGAAATTGACTCAGCTAGCTTAAGCAAAAACACAATCTATCAGAAGAAAATTAGGACGCTCATAGAATAAAAGAAGCTAAACAACTAGGCCCCAAGAAGGAGGCAGCAAATTGGTAACTCAGGAAATTCAGGCCACAGGAACTGGTGGAACTGATGGACACCTCTTTATAATGCCATCCTCATAAGGAATAACCTTCAACTACTTTTCATCCTTGGGTCACTCTGCTCAAGATTAAAATCCCAGGGCGGCAAAGCTTGACTGTCCATGGTAGATAAGTCACTTTGATTGACACTGAGGCTCTATCTGACTTGGGAGAAATCAAAGTGCTTCTACTAAAGCAGGAAGAGGAAATGCTGAGTAGAAAGAAACAACAGATGTCCATTAGGACAGGTGAAGTTATCCCCATTGTACAGATCAGGAAACTGCAGCTCAGAGAAGCCAAGAAACTCTCCCAAGTTTACACAGACAATAAATGACAGGGCCAGGGTTTCAGCTTAGACCTTAGACCTTCCTAACTCTAAAGCCTGGGTGCCTTCCATTTCTCCTTGCTACCTGTTTGCCTAAACTGCATATGGACGTTGCCTTTTGAGTCAAGCCATGCGTGGTAGGCTGAAACTCTACTGTCAGTCCAAGAGCTGGGTCAGTCTCCTCAACTCCCATCCCAGTTGCCAGGGGGAGGCTCCGCAAACAGTTTTCTGTCCCACCACAGAAGCTTAGCTTGCTGTGAGGAAACAGCTATGCTCTGAGGCCCCACTGGGAGACGAGAATATTAAACCACAGCCTGTCTTTCCAATGTCTACCCATTGACTCTGTGTTGCCTTGAGAGCAACACACAATACTCCCTTCTCAACATGCTAACCTTCCAAATATTTGAAAAGAGGGATCTGTTCCACTCAGATATTCTCTTTGCAAAGCTAAATATTCCTGTTCCTTCAATGATTCCTCATACTGCTATCCCATATGACCACATGGGGATAATTTCCATATGTTGGCTAATTCTCCAAGACTTACATCAGATGAGAATCTGGCCCTGTATGAAAAGAAACCATTTCCCCTCGCTTTCTCTTTCTGATTCATTAGATTTCACATAAACCTTTCTGATGATGACCTGCTGTTTTCAAACTCAGCTGCAACCCAATATGACTCACCAGGCAAAATTCTCATTCTTTAGTCTTCGTTTATCAATTCCCATCAACCCAAGGCCCCAGAAAGCACCCTTCAGGGGCAATATGTGTCTGTGAAAAATGCCAAGTTTTGATTCTTTGCCATTTTTTAGTTTATATAAAGTCATATGACTTTTAAAAATCAAAGTTTTTGCTCAATGTAAATAATTTAAAGTTTGAACAGCTGTAATCATATTCTCCAAAGAAAACACCCTGAAAGGTGGTTAAGGGCATTGTGTGCCAGATCCTCCCCCTAAAATCTCTTTAATTGTTCTTTTCATTAAAAAAAAGAGAGAGCGCACGAATAGAGATTTGAATGACGTTTTGGGGTTTTGAGCATTTGAAAGTATTTCTTCATAAAGACATTAGTTGTACTGTTTCTGAAACAAAGTGTCTGATTATGTAAATAGTTATGGAATCTCAAAGTTTGAGTTGGAAGAAAGTAGGAAAAAGAGGAGTTCCACACGTAGGGAAAGAAGTCTAGGATTTTTCTGTTCAGAATCTTTTAGCTAGGCAACTCCAAAAACTGCAGCTGGAACACTCTAGAATTAAATAAGTACTGGAATTTGGACTAAATAAATCCATGTCAAAGGTTCAGCATGTGACTCAGACACAGTAAAATATTCCCGTCTTTTGCTCTTCAGAACATGATTCAAAGTCTACCATTTACATTCTGTCTATCATAGACAAGGAACTGAACTCAAACAGAGGAACTTATTGTTTGGTCTCTGCCACCAAAAGCTATGTATCTTTGAACAAATTACTATTCAACTTTGAAAACCCCTTCCATAAAACTGTTGGTCAGTGACCATCTCTCCAGAGAGATGATCTTTAAGGGTGAATCTGTGGTAAGAGGAAGGTAAGAAAATAGAGCAGTTTCTATTGCTATATTGCATTGTTCCACCTGGAACAGAGAGTCTCTCCAAGTCCTCTGCTTGACTGGATTTAGGATGTTCAGGCTGAAGAGTGAATTGCTTAATGGAGTTGGTAGCTTCTGTAGTCACTGGCCATCAGGTGTATAGAACTATAGAATCATAGAATTGGAAGGTTCATTAGACGTCATCTGATACAAACATTTGCCTAATGAAAAGATGTCTCCACATTGACTGGTTGCAGTGGCTCGTGCCTATAATCCCAGCCCTTTGGGAGGCTGAGATGGGAAGATGGCTTGAGCCCAGGAGTTCAAGGTTACAGTGAGCTGTGATTGTGCCACTGCCCTCTAGCCTAGGTGAGAGAGTGAGACTTGAAAAATAAAAATCTCTCCACAAGACCACTGAGTAGTGATGTCTGAAATGGTGGCTACCTGAACACAGGAATAGAGCTCTTGCCACCTTTCAAAGCAGCATTTTCTGTTCTGGGATGGCTCTAGATGTTATACCATTTCTATATTGAACTGACATCCACCACCTTTTTGTCTTGGATATACCCTCTTGAACCACAGAGAATAATATCTACAACATCCCTAAGCTTCCCAATTTCTTTCAAATGTTCTTCATATGGCGTCCCCAGACCCTATATTTCCCTGGTCACCTTTTTAGTGCATATCTCATTTTGTTGCAATTCCTTGCGGATAATTTGAATCTAGCCCTTCTACTGGGTGAACAATGCAGATTTGTGGAAGTCTAGACTATGAGGCCAAGTACTGTATTTGTCTTGTTCCATCAGCAACTTGTAATGACTGAAATGTTGTAGGTACCCCCAAAATATTTATGGAATGACTTGTTTTTGTTTGTTTGTTTTTTTGAGACAGAGTCTCGCTCCGTCACCCAGGTTGGAGTGCGGTGGTACGATCTTGGCTTACTGCAACCTCTGCCTCCTGGGTTCAAGCAATTCTCATGCCTCAGGCTCCAGAGTAGCTGAGACTACAAGTGTGCACCACAACATCAGGCTAATTTTTGTATTTTAGTAGAGATGGGTTCACCATGTTGGCCATGCTGATCTTGAACTCCTGGCCTTAAGCGATCCTCCTGCCTCTGCCTCCCAAAATGCTGGGATTATAGGTGTAAGCCACTGTACCCAGCCTAAATGAGTGAGTCTTTAACCTTCCTTCTAGTTGGCTTGAGTAGAACTCCAAGGAATATGAAAGTCAATTCTCCTTCTAATAGATGGTAAATGAAACCCTTTGGATTTGAATAAAGAGAATGGTTCTCTCTCTCTCTCTCACACTCTTTCTCTCTTTCTTTCTCTTGCTCTCGTGCTCTCTTGCTCTCTCCTGCTGTCTCTCTCTCTCATCCTCCCAGGAAGAGCCAGATTAGACTTATCGGAAGACTAGTAAGTTACATTTTAATATGTTAAACTAGGTGGAAACACCATTACTAGAAAATAATTTAGACCTTGGGCACTTCGGATTCAACATGTGTTGTACTGATATTTTCCAGTGCCTTGGTGATTCATACAACTTTCTGGGATCTTTTGGTTAACGAAGAAAAAGTCATAAGATCAGCAAGAAGAGAAACTAGATTTTTGCCTCAACTCAACATGTTAAGTAATCACCTGACGTCTGCATAAGACCACCTCTTGGCACCTGGCTACACAAGCTGAAATGGGTAATTCACTAATTACTTGGGTGTGTGCCTCTTTAAATGAGTTGTGGAGTGGGTGAATATTTGGGGGATTCCACTGGAGTGAAACACAGCTGTTGAATTATTCATGTTCACTTGAAAAGCACAGAACACAAAAGTCCTGTGATTTCACCTCAGCATTTCCAGCCTCCATGGACAGATTTTGTCTGGTGCTTGAGATCCAGGTCCTGTTTCTAGCAGACCCAATTGTAACTTATGACTTAACCCTCTAAGTAAAGGGCTCTTGATTGGCAGGCACCTCTCTCTGAGGACAAGAAAATAATCTAATAGGATTTATTATTCCTCTGAATACTTCCAGTTTTAGTGCAATTAAATTAATGTGAACATATTTTTCTGTGGTCCTGTCTTGCACTAGGCTCTCAAACGCTCTCCCTGTGTGTGTGTGTGTGTGTGTGTGTGTGTGTGTGTGTGTGTTGGGGGGAGTGGCATGTGCATTTTGTTTTATGTTATATTTTCATAAATAGCCAGGAGACTGAAGAGGGCATGGACAATCAGACCTCTAGCTCCTGGCAAGGAATTACAAACTGAAGGAAATCAGCTTTAAAAGCTTTTTTGGCCCCTCACATTATTTTTAAGCAAAACCTAACAAGGATATGAGGAAGGAAAGGAGGCAGTATACTTTTCAAGGAAACTAACTTGAAACTATTTAGAGGCATGCTATCTACAGTTTCTATTAAAACAAACAAACAAACAAAAAACGTTCTCAATACCTTCCTTTCTTCCTAAGGTTTAAAATAATCCTTAAAGCCAATATAATTACAGCATTTACTTCCAGTCCACATCCATTTTGTTAGCCGTCTCCAACCGTCTCTTAACCTTGCATATCCTTCACCACTAGAAACCACCTCATTTTAACTGAAAAAACAAAACAAAACAAAACAAAACTGTAAAACAAAAGCAAAGACTCATAATGATATATGGCTTTAATTATTAGCAAAGACAAACAGTTCGTTACAGATGAGCATAAATTAAACGACTAACAACAAAATCTGTGCTTTACTTGGTGATCCTGGGTTGACCTTTTCCTAAGATGTACTTCTGTTGTGTTCCCTGGGAAGAAATACCTATTGAGGGACAGGATTCTGACTGTAAAGACATGATTATAATTCACAGAGCAGATTAAAAGTTCACAAACAAGCTATTCATTTCTTCTAAACTTCCCAGCCAAAACCCCTCTAGACTATACTTTCACAACTCCTGCATAAGGATTTCACTAAGAGTTCAGGCTATCTTCCTTCCAGTTCCCACTATACCTATTGCTGACTGTTGGAATTCTCCACCACTAAGCGTGGGCAGTCTGACTCACTCTAGGGTCTGAGAATAGGGGCCTCCACATCATGAAGTTCAAGTCTTGTGAAAAATAAGGAACATTAGACAGTGTAACCACACCAGTTAAATAAAGACCCAAGGCAAAATCATGCTGGGGAAACCTTCCAGATTTTGCTGAGCACTTGCTGACTTCAGTTTTCTTTCTTTCTCTTTCTTTCTTTCTTTCTTTCTTTCTTTCTTTCTTTCTTTCTTTCTTTCTTTCTTTCTCTTTCTTTCTTTCTTTCTTTCTTTCTTTCTTTCTTTCTTTCTTTCTTTCTTTCTTTCTTTCTTTCTCTCTCTCTCTCTTTCTTTCTTTCTTTCTTTCTTTCTTTTTCTTCCTTCCTTCCTTCCTTCCTTTTTTTTTTTTTTTTTGACAGAGTCTTGCTCTGTTGCCCAGGCTGGAGTGCAGTGGCTCGATCTTGGTTTACTGCAACCTCTGCCTCCAGGGTTCAATGAATTCTCCTGCCTCAGCCTCCCGAATAGCTGGGACTACAAGTACACACCACCACACCTGGCTAATTTTTGTATTTTTAGTAAAGATGGGGTTTCACCATGTTGGCCAGGCTGGTCTCAACCTCCTGACCTCAGGTGATCCACCTGCCTCAGACTCCCAAAGTGCTAGGATTGCAGGTGTGAGCCACTGCACCCGGCCAGTTTTCATTTTTGCTTCTTCTCAAAAAAAGGTTTACTGTAAGGTATTTATTTATATGTGGCTTCTTGACCTTCTAAGTGATTATTGAAAAGTATGCAGTGTGAAGACCTTAATCCCAAACTCTCTCTCTCTACAGCGTCAGATTATTACAATTTTGGGTGCTCATAGGACAAGCAGAGGGCAGAGCACTCCAGTGTAATATTATTTACTTGTTTATAGGTCTGTCTTCCCCCACTCAGCAGGAAACTCTATCAAAGGCAAGAACTTTGCCCTTTGCATCTTTTTATCCCCACTGCCTTGTTTGGTGCCTGGTACGCAGCCAATAAATATTTGTCAAATTAATCCATGAAGGTAAATTGAAAGCACACCATTAGTGTTAATTGGCAAGACCTTCTGTGGGCAAGCAAATGTGCCCACTAAGCCCTGGTAACCACAGTGTCTTCTGAGGCCCAACATTAAGCCCTTTTTCATTCTTACTGCCAAGCACAGAGCTTAAGAAGGCCTCAGTTTGATTTCCATATTTGGATCATGCTGAGTGTAGACCCCAGTTCTATAATCCATTTCTTTCTGAGGCTGTTGGCATCTCTGGAGTCGGGAAGTAACATCTGCTTCAGTGAGCTGATTACCCAATGAGAAAAAAAGAGGTAAAGGCTAGCGTTAGGTGGGGTCTGACTTAGCTTCAAAGCAGGCATATGGCATGTATCTTAATGAGAATTTGCATATTCAGGAAAGATACATCTGAAGGGAAAATTAACTGGTTCAAGACGGAGCACATAAATACAATATGGCTGATCAGATTGCCCCAAGTTGATGGCGCGCTGTCTTTAAAAGCCTTCATATTTACTTTTCCCTTTCAATTCCCACTGCATCACTCTGGTTGGTGCCCTGGTTTACCTCAACTCTGGATTACTGTAGTGGCTCTTCCTATGGTCTATCTTTGCTGGATGTGTCTTTGTACCAAATCCTGCTCCACAAACTAGAATGTTAATCTCCCTAAATCCAAGACTCAAAAACCAAGGCTTCATTTGCTTTGGTTTGCTCAGAAAGCTTGGCTCAAAATCAAGACTTTCATTTACTAAAAAACCAAGGCTTCCCTTCTTTTCCTGGCACTCAAGTATTTCATCGAGGATCTGGTCTTAACCTGCATTTCCATGCTACCTCACTACCGAGTTCCAATCCATCTCTCCATCCCACCAGGCTGGTCCATTAATTCATGCAGGGTTTCCTGGTTCCTTTCTATTATCTTTATTTGTCCTATTTGCATAGAAAGTCCTATTTACATTGCTTCTGCCCACCTATCCAGGTTCTGCTCTTGTCTACTCCACAAATCCTTCTGTTGTCATTCTAGTCATCACCAACACTTCCTTATCTGAACAACTACAGAACTATAAGACACTGGGAGGGAACTAATATGTATCTATGTTTTAAGACTCTTTTGGTTCAAACATTATTCAGCAGGATAAAATCACAAGTTCTTTAGAAATTTCAATGTCAGCCCACAGATTTTCCAATGTGGGGACCTCCTGTGATGCAGAGAATACATCCCCAGTCTAATGAGATAAGACAAGTATGTTCTGTCCACTTCATGTCTTTTGTCCCTTTTAAAAATAACAATATATTAGAGTTATGTCTAGAGGAGTGAGCAGTATCAGCCAGAGAAAGGTTTTAGTTTTAAGAGAATTCCACTCGGAAGCATGAGAAGATCCAAGTGAAAAAAAAAATTGTTGATTTGCATCTGAATGGTGACAGCTTGTGGGGTTGGCTGGTTAGAGTATAAGGCATAGTGGCAGAATGAAACTGAATTATCCAAGAAGAGGAGGGAATCCCAGGAAAGAAGGTGTTCCCAGACATCCATACAAGGCAGAAACATAGAAACATAGCAGAAGATGGCTTGAGGAGAATAAGAATGGCAACAAAATCTGCCCTATCTTTTGAACTCTATATGGATTTCTGAGCACTTATGAGTCAGATTAAGTTATTTCTAGTGATGGACTGATCATGTATCCATTTTCAGGAGATGCAGAGAATAAGAGCAAGGATGTGTCAGCCTGTAAGAGACTAGATCAAGGGGCCCTGCCAGAGAGATTCTCCTCTGGAAATAGGAGACCATGGTGGTTGTGGTGGTGGTAGAGATGAATATGAAATCAGCGGGAAATCTACCTGATTGGTTCATGTAGCCAACAGAAGGGAAGATCATTTATCTAATGTCAGCTACATAAATTTTAATAGCAATGCCTAGAATGAAACAGCTTCCAAAGTGCTAGATTTAAACCTAAAGACTGAAACCTGCCACTTATTCCACGAACACTCCTGGCAGCTATAATTTGTAAGATTTTGTTTTTTAGAACATGTTTTGCAAACATTTTTGGTCACCTGAAGTAAAAAATATCCTATGCAGGCTAATGTTTCATGAAAAACAAAAAAAAAACAACAAACAGAAAAAAGAAAAAAGAAAAACCACGTTCACTGAGGATAAAATACAAGGCATTTTGATTTTTTTTTCTAATTTGGTGTGGTCTTTTTTATTTGTAAAATGCTAGCCAAGACCTACTAAATGGACTTCATGACCCACTAATTTAAAAAACTATGTTAGAACAAGCAGGCCTGGCTGACCTCTAAGACCAGAAGACAAGAGCTGAGAGAGACCCAGTAAACCCTGATTCTGAGAGATTGCCAGGAGCACTATTAATGGAAGATTATAAAGGTCTCTTTTAACTTTTAAACTTTATCTTTTATTGCTTTGACCCGGTTGTTGCAGGAAAACTCCTTGAGAAACCACACAAGAATGGAACACTTGCTTAGAGACATGAGAGTAGCCTAGAATCTAAGAATCTGTGCTTCCTTCTACAGTTGTCTTTGGAAGAATAGACATTCATGGCAGAACAAAGATCACTCTCTGAAGGTAGGACCATGTTTTTATATCCCCTTCAGCACCCAACGTGGTGCCTCACATGAGGAAAATGCTCAAAATAATGGCTAATTACACATTTTGAGATTCATACATCCTGGAAGAGCATCTTTCAACTTTTAAAGGGTATTCCCCCTTTTGATAAACATGTACTCACATTGCTGACTATATAATCCCAGATTCTGATCCAGGACCTTTCACCTATCTATGCCTCCATTTATGATTACCTGCTCTAGAAGTTGAATGAATAGAAAAGGAAATGAGCATTTGTTTGTTGAAAACTATTAAGCTCCAGGCACATGGCAAAATGTATCTCATTTATATCATGCAGCAATTTTATGAGATAGGCATTATTTTCTCCATTTTAGATAAAGTAACAAGAGCGGTATGAGGTTAAAAGACTTGACCAAGGCCACAGAGCTAAGACATGGCAGAGCCAGGACTTGGATTGCCACATCTGGATGATTCTGAAGCCTACATTCTTCACATGCCATCAGAGTGGGTCTTACATGGAAGTAGGCCTTTCAGAGCTTCCTAGAATGGATACTAATCTAGGCGCAAGTGTTAGCTCTTTCAAAACTCTCTTTGTATTGATCAGCCTCTTTGGATCTCAGTTTTTTCACATGATCTGAAACATAAATCATGCCCTTCTCACAACAGAACAACTGTGAAGATTAAATGAAGTAATAATTTATGTGAATTATAAAGAAAGACCGTTTTATAAATGTGAGATGCCATATAATGCCTCGACTTACTATAAGGCGTAAGGATAAATGTGATAACTTTTGTAAATTACTTGGCATCCTACCTGAAAAATTATATATACTCAATAAGTGTTCATTTTCTTTTCTTCTTCCTTAAGGTGTTGTATGAGAAATCCACATAGGAGCAACCCAAGAAAACCATGCAGCTCAATACTAGCCTGGAAAGACAGAAGGAAAACATGCCAAGTGGAGCTCACCAGAAGGACAGCAGTCAGAGTTCAAGAGCCCAGCTTTAAAAGGCATGTATTCACTGATGTGCTTTAAAATCTATAATAAACAGTAGTATACTCTGGTAGTGAGGAAGAATTGAGGCACTTGGAGAACTGGAAGACTATTTGAAGACGATGATGATACCTACTGATCATGTGAGTCAAGACATTGGAGTCTTGTCTACAGATTACATGAATGGCCTCCAATGGTGAAGATTTGAATTTAAGGTTGCCAAGCAAGAATTTCAGAAGGGGCCTCCTTGACTTTAGAAAATAAATGTGAAACTGGCTTAAGCTGCCTTTCTGTCTGTCTGTCTTGGGTAGCCTCAGCAGTATGCATTAGCTTGGGGGAGGAGTAAGAAAATAGGAGATAGTTTTGTTCCTATTTGAATCAACCCATTTATGCCAGAGGCTGCAAATTTTTTGTGTGAAAAATAAGACCTTGGCAATGACCTTCCACAGTAGGATATAAATAACTCCTACAAGCGTAGTGTTCCAATAATGGAACACTAGGCATACATATGTTAAGGTTCATTAATATTTAACTGCTTTCCAGTGTCCGTATCAGTAGGTATCATCAGCTTCTTCAAATAGACTTCCAGTTCTCCAAGAGCCTCAACTCTTCCTTACTACCAGTGTATACTATACTTTAGTACAGATTTTAAAATTAGATTCTCCTGATCACCTGGAAGTCAGAGGAATCAGGGAATGAGGACTTGCTTTTTCAAATCCTCTTTCTTTTCCAGCATTTCTGCCCTAGCTGCTGGATTTCCAAGTTAGTCATCTACAAGTTACACTTCTTCTTTCTGTCACTTCATCTCACATGCATTTTGTGGGCATCTTAGTCTACTTATGCGGTTTTGTCCCCCAATGCTTAAGGAAACTCTGCTTGAGGGTGTTGCTAAAGAAAATTCCCAGCCATAGCTCACAGGAAACAGGAGAGAAGGAATCTTCAAATCACTGCCAAGGCCCAATTTCAGGATGGATAAAGAGAACATTTTTCTGGTGTCAGTGACTTGGATCTTCTGCCACTGAAAAGGTCACGGGCAGGGCTAGGAAGATCTTAAGGTAATTCTCAGGGTTGTGAAAATCAAGTGAGCTACTAGAAGTAAACATGCTTTATAAATTATGAAATATTTCACAAATGCAAGGGAGTATTTATGTCAGAGGCTGAAGGGCCTAAGATTCACCTCTCCTCCCCTCCATGTTCTGACTGAGAGAATAGGTATAAAGATAATAGGCCAAAGGGAACAAGTATAGACTTTGCTACGTGTAGAGAAAATGACCACATCCCTAAAAATGCAGAGTCTACCAATGTCTGGATTAGAGAATACAGCTTGGAACTGAGGTCAACATGAAATTTTTCTAATACGCTCCTGAATCCAAGCCATAGTATCTCCCTGACAGGTTGACTCTGTCTGAGAAACAGGCTCCAAATCCATTTACACAATTAACTGTGGGTCTGGGAGTGGAAGGGAGCTCAAAACCTGTGGTACCCAGACGGCTCACAGCTAAAACCAGGACCCATGGATTACATAAAGCCTTGACCAGCCAGTACACTCTTTCTCCTAGGAGGAGGGAATTAGATGAGTAAAGAGAGAGGCCCCCAACAATACCCAAGGGAAGAGAGGTCAGAATTCCAATGGAAATGGGGTTGGGGGTATACATTTCTTTATTTCTCAATACTTCCTGTGGGGAATAATGATATCATAATTTAAATTTCCTGTGCAGAGCAAAGAAACTCATAATTATTTTGGGTAACTAACTTCTCTGTTCCATCCTGGTCTTTCAGTTACCCTCCCTATATTTGGTTCACTGTGAGTAGTTAGGAACCGTGTTGTCAGCAAAAGCCCAAGTTCAGAATCAAGGATAATAAAGGAGATCAAGAAGCTCCCAAAGAATGAGTTAAAGGCAAGAGAAGAATGCATTTCAACAAGTTGTTTGAGAGAGTTATGCTTACTCAATACATATCTGCTTACAGTAACAACATATATTTAGAGTTATTTCAAAACCTGATTCTTGAAATTCATGTTAAAAATAATTTTGTTATGGGTTAAATTTAATAGCTGTAACCCCTTTTTCCTATTGAAAAAATTCTTTTTGTAATAGATTTTCTCAGGGAGGCAATTATCATATTGTAAAAGGCACACTATAATTTTTCACCAAATATCTGCTAAGTATCTGGCATATGCTACACAACATAATGAATACGATATGATGCATCTTCTAAAGAGCCAATATGAGAGGCAATGGAAGCAATAATAATATAAAATGAGCTAGATGTATAGACTTATAATCAAACTGGAACTGAATATGTGCTCAGAATGGGATCCATATATAGTAATAGAGTGATTACTAGTTTGAGGAGCAGGGGCAGGGATGGGGAGAACTTTGGAGGGACAGAGAAACTCAGGAAAGACTTCAGGGAGGAGGTGGCATTTTAACTGAGTCCTTGAAAAGTGGGTATTATTTAGACAAAGGAAAGATAAGATGTAATAGACAAAGGGAGTAGTGAGAGAAAGATACTGGGTAGGTTGTAGATCAGAAAGAGAGAATAGCTGCTGTTGACTAGATTATAGTGCTTGCCAAAGGGAGCAATGATAAAGAGAAAGCTGATTAGAGATGAAATAGCAGAACTTTTCATGGCAGGCAAGGGATTTTGAACTCTGTTCTCCATGGTAGTGGGCCTTTATAACAAAGCCATGAGCAAACTGCAGGATGTCCTACCTGTTTGGTATGTATGAACCTTGGCTTTGTCTTCCAAAGAACTGGAGGTGGAAGGGGAGGCTATTTGGGAGGCTGTTCTAATTTTCCAGCAGAAGTTGTATTTGCCTGAGCTAGGATGGTGGCTGTGGGAACTGCAAGGAGAGGAAGAATGGCAAATGTCTTGCTCAGAAAGAACCGATGGTATTTGATATACCTGATGTTAACCTAGTGACAGCCAGGCCCACTTGCTTTAACAGGCCCACTTGCTGTAATTGGTAATTAAAAAAAAAAAAAAAAAACAAGAATAAATATAAAATCATTTAGGTAAATACCAGCTGTCTTCAATCCACTGATTTCCAAGCACTGCCCCATTTTCAGAGCTCAACAACACCTGAGTAACTTGCCCATGGGCTTCAAACTTGGCTCACCACGTCAGCTTGCTGTCCCTTTTTCATTTCTTTAACACATAGAGCCACCATGGACCATTTCCTTTGCACAAAGGGTTCCATAACTATAGAATAGTTTGAAAATCATAACTCATCCAACCTTTATAGATGAAGGAACTGGAAGGATACTGTAATTTCTGGACTCCAGGTCACATCACAAAATAGATAATAAATCCTCTTTTCAATATGCTGAATTCCCAATTTCTCTTTCAATGTTGTAACCCTGCTGTGTCATTATTATTCTGTTTTTCATCCTGGCACAATATTAACATCAGAGCTTGATTATAGATTTATCAGTATTCAGATGTGGAAAAATCAATCATTTACGAAAAGAACACCAGTGTTAGATGAAAAGCTGCAGAGCCACTTCTGTGGAAAAGGAGTAGAGATTCTTGCCTGAGTGTTCCCTGTCTTGTTTCATAATTGCCGTGTAGTACCATTTTACTAAAATAGCTAATATTTCATTAACAACTCACATTATAGAGTCAGATTATTATGGATTTTCTGTTTGTGACAGGAAAGTTTATTTTTCTTAAGCAAAATAATTACAAGCCACGAATCTTCATGAAGGTAGAGGTTGTTGACATAATAAAAAGATAATTTAGAAATCCAAAAAGGGATCTGAAGGGTCAAAGTGAAAAGATAAGTAAAATGTATTTTCCTTTTAATAAACTCATACTCCCTGAAGACATCTGAGAAATGCTAATAATAGCACAAAAATTATTAAATTTCTAAAGGGGATTAATGGAATGCAGCCTTGACAAAATTTAGTTGCACTCTGTTGGTATGCCTCACATTTTGTGATGATTCTATCGTGTGCTTTCTCTCTACTCCTCACATTGTACCAGAGCATCTAAAACCCTAAGGTGTGCACAGATCACAGATCGGCTGGACAATTACAACAGGAATGCAGATTCTCATTCAGTATGTCTGAGATGAGCCTGGGATGCAGGTGATGCTGATGGTTCAGGAACTATACTTTGAGTAGCAAGGCTATACATACTGCTCTGCTCTGACCCGGTGGAGTCTGGCCACCTTCACAGGGTCTCCTATATTGATACTGCAAACAATTTTTTTCTCAAACAGTGCTCCCTGATATTCTAGGGAATAGTGGGAATTGCTGAAGAGATAGGGTAAGGTCCAGAAGTAGACTCACACAAATACAGCTAGGACACTACCACTCTGCTAGAGCAGTTCCATTTTTATGGGTTTGACATATAAGCTGACCAACATGGAGAAACCCCGCCTCTACTAAAAATACAAAATTATCTGGGCATGGTGGTGCGTGCCTGTAATCCCAGCTACTCAGGAGCTGAGGCAAGAGAATCTCTTGAATCCAGGAGGCGGAGGTTGTGGTGAGCCGAGATTGCGCCATTGCACTCCAGCCTGGGCAACAAGAGTGAAACTCTGTCTCAAACAAACAAACAAACAAAAACTCCAATGCTTAAAAAGGAAAAAACCTGAAAATGACAGCTCTAGGCTTTTCCATCTTCTCTTCATCAAGGAAAGCTATTGCTTGCTGAGAACTTACAGTATGCCAGTCCTCCGCAAAAGGATTGCCCAAAGTCACACATTTAAGAATACAGGCTAGGGTCCTAGAGCTGTCTGATTTTACCTAAAGCCTAGGTTGTTCCACATGCACCATTCTTCCTTCCTGTCCTGCTTCTGTGCTTTTGTCCTAGCCTCAGGGGTCTAATGCTCTGCTTTCTCTGGTGAGAGTGAGTAATGTGAGAAACTATTCAGTATTTGCTAATGGTTTCTGTAAAGAGAATGTGAACAAAAGATCAATATTCATGTATCAATGTATTTCTATATATAGAAGCAATGAAAATAGGAAACTAAATTTAAAAACATATACCATTTAAAATAGTTCTAAAAATGAAAGT